AATTAAAGAACGTACTTTTGACATTTTGATTTGTAATTTATTTTTAAAACAAAATACATTAACTAAAGGAAGAACATCAATTTTTGTATATAAAAAACTAATCATCATACAGTTGTATACATTTGTATATGGAGGGACTAGGGAGTACATGTTTGTAGACATTGTTGTCTGCAGTGTATGGGGGGCAAAATAAAACAGGACTATTAAATATATTCTACTTCAACAATAAAAATTGGATAATATTTTCAAAAAATATTTGATATATAAGAAAACATTTAAAATCAGCTATGCATATAAAAAACATTACATATGTACAAAACAATTTGGTTTGTTGAAATGGATTCGGATCTCATCCAGGTTAATAGTTTTCTCTTCTCTTCCTGAAGGATGATGCTATATGTTAAGTTTATCTAAGAAAAACATTATCGGTGATCCCCAAGCTGAGTCATTTAGCGGAAAATTCCCTTAGTTTTTAAGTTAAAACGTTAAGGGACATCTGTAAAATCTCTTAAATTAAACGCCAACGACAAGAGATTTTACGGATGTTCCTTAGCGTTTTTAGTTAAAAGCTAAAGGATTTTCCCGTTAAGAGACTCAATTTGGGGACGACCGATAATATTGCCCTTAGTATCTATCGTGATGGGAACGTCGAGATTTTGGTCCATCCAAGTGAAGTCTAGACCAGTGAGAGTCCTCCATCTATTATACCACTACCGAAAGTGACAGTACACGTGGAGCCTCTCACACCAAATAGAACCCTGCTTCGACCACACAAATAGTACTAAATTTAATCAATCAAACACTTTCGATTATATAAGCAAATGTTATGTCAGATACCATTCGTCTCTACGCTCTATAGAGGGCCCTCGAGAGGTGCTATAATTCGTTTTAGTTTGGTTTTACTTTTGTTTAAATCTTTCGTATATGGTAGTGTATAATTTAAGCTTATTTATGTCCTACGTGTGTATCCCTTACTTGACAGCTTAATTACAAAATCTGGAAAACTGATAAGCCAACCATTTAATCAGGTTGGAAAGCTTTAGTTTTTCATTTTGTACCAAAAGAATCAAGACCACTATAACTGTATTTTTTTCATTACAACACTGTTTAGAACATCTCCGAATTTTTTTTTATAAACTTTAAAGATAGAATTTTTTGATCTTCAAAAGGAAATTTCAAATTTAATATTTTTAAAAGTGAAACTTTATATTTGAAGTTTCACCATCCAAAACTTCAAATTTGAAATTTCATATTTTTATTTGTATTTTGGTCCTTACAATTACAAATAAAATTTATAACTCGTAAATATTTTTTTGTTTATCGTTTTAATTCTACAAATTTTTTTATCTCATAAATATTTCAAATTATTTTTTAAATTTTTATAAATTCAAGTCAGATATATTAAATAAAGTTTTAAAATAAATTTTATAGTATCTTAGAACTAAAATTAGACAACAAGAATATTAGTACAAAAAAAAACTTAATATTTGCTTGTAGTTAAATATTTAATAATAGAATTAGACAACAAAAAATGGTAGTTTGCTATTTAATTATGTGTTTGTATTTATAATTTTATATATGTGTGTTATTTATAAAAGTTTTATTAATTTAGATTTATTATGAAAAATATAAGAACTATAGTATAAAATATAAATAATTTTGAAATTAAGTTTGAAGTTTTGTTTTTAGACAAAAATGTGTTTTGAAAATTCAAATATAGAATTTTAGAAACTTAAAAATAGAAAATGTTATTGGAGATGTTCTTAGCTGATTTTCACACACGTGAAAGGTTTTCATTCGTTCTCTCTTGACTCTTCTATCAAAAATTCCATGGCAACGGAGAGGGGACTGTTTCGATACACGCGAGCACAAAAGACTTGACATAACGTACGGCTCGATTTAAAGCTCACTGTGACACGTGAACGGCTGAACCAATCAACGGATCTTATATAATGAGGACGTCAGCTTTGTCGGGGAGGCAGTATCGAAGGGAGAAATCTGGAGACGGTGATTGGTTCCTGTCTATCTCTTATCAGATGCCAAGTGTATGCTTGATATGTGTGTGAATGTTACACCTTTATTTATTCTCCCGTACTTTTGGCTTTTTCTTTTTTTTAAAACAAAATTTGTCAACCTTTTTGATAACCAATGAGACTTCTCCACATGCTGGTGGAACAAGCAGAGCTCACGAAGATATATATATTTTTTTTTTTTTTTTTTTTTTTAATTAAAATTTCTTATCATTAATTAACCCGAACAAAACGGGAATTCAAGTGTTGTTTACAAGCTTGGATCGAACAAAATTATCTAAATCTACACATAACACCTTTCGCTTCGTTCGCCCGCCAAACCGACACGTTCCGCTAGAGTGCGCCGAGATCCTTAGACTATCAATATCCGTTCTCAACCAATGATGAAAACCACTGCAAAGGGCGAGGTTTACCTCGTTACCTCGGATGCCGGTCTTTGCGTGTCATCACTAGAGTAGCTGGTTAATGATGATCTCACCAAGCTTGCTTAGTCACTGATCTTTGAAGCACAAGACGAACTAAAGAAGGATGGTACAAAACAATCTTACCAGATCAAGTACCCATCTGTACTCCTGTCTCAGCCGCCGAAGCAGAGCAAAAAACGAGTTTGAAGAAGCACCCGCCTGGATGAAACAATAGCACTCATAACCTGCACAAGGAAGATAGAAGCCACACTACCAACAAGGACAAATGACCACCGTTGGTACTGGGATATGCGGCTTCAATCGAAAGGAGCCTTCGAGAGGCAGAATGGAGCCGTAGACCACCTCGACCCACCATCTACCTTCGCCTTCCGCTGCCGCCGAGAACCGAAGACAGAAACCTTGAGACCGTTTGACATGTTTCCTTAGGCTTCGGAAACACATAGCACTAGAAACAACAGAGCGCCCTTAAGAGGACCAGACGCCAAAGCCTCAAAAGATAATGCCCACCAGACCCAGTAGAGGAGGTGAAAAAACTTGAAAGGCAAAGAACCCGAAAACAGACCAGCCATAGACGACAACGTCTTCACTGGTTTTCAGCCTTCTCGAGCAGGAATCAAAGACATAGCCTCACCACGCAGCAAGAGCTATGCTCTGTACTCGAAACCGAGGAAGAAATCCTCCGGAGCAAGTCCAAGAGAGTGAGAACAAAGGAATACGCTCCAAGACACCTCAGAACGATCAATCCAACGAAACACCCGCCCCTTGACCAAACCAGTAACCAGCAGGCCTCTCCGCCACCGACAGAGGAAGACCCAACCACCGCCAATTACTGGAAGAAGACCAAGAACACCATCTCCGCCTCGCGTTGCTTCTTCGGAGACCGTACGGAGAATAGATCTCCAGATCTGAAAATCACAGCCTCCAAAACCCTAAAAGCCGACGCCTTTCCAACCTAGCTCCACCAAACCCTCGTTGCTGCTCCGAAGACGCTTCCACCGGCGTACAAGCTCCGTCGCGAACGAAGGCAAGACACGGAGGAGCTACTCAGAGGAGGAGACATATCGGGGGGGGGGGAGACAAAGGCTGAAGAAGACGCAAAGAGAAGACAAGGAATAGAAAAGGAAGGGTCCCGCCGGAGCCAGACAGTCGCGTGGCGCTCTTCCGCGCGCTCACGGACGCCGGACCGGAGGAAGAACGGTTGGTGTCTTAGATGTCGCGAGAGAGAAAAGTTGGGTCTTTTGACTTTTTCTTTTATGATTCCTAATATAAGAAACTTGACAGCTCACGAAGATATTGCTTTATAATAAGTTCTAAAGTTAAGTATACTCATTACATATGGTTAAAATACCGTTGAAGCTTAAGAGAGTTTATCTATGTACGTATATTTTTCGTCTACAATCTGAATTCAGATAAGGTTCCTAGTTTGAACATCCGTTACGATTTAAGAATATATGAAAATGTAATATGAATGTCATATATAGCAAAGTACACATAAATGAATCTCAAAAAATAGAATTTCAATATAGAGAAACAAAGAAATGCAAACCAGGTGATGTACATTGTTTATATATACTATATAATGTATAAATGTATTTACAGATATCTTTGCTAGATACGTATAAATGTTGATGTCTGAATGGCATATTCAGGAGCTGCATGCTAGCAGGCTAGTTAAGATTTCAAGATGATGCTAATTACAAGTCATTAAGAACATATATATAGAAAATGCCAAAATGCCAAAATGCGAGTCCGCAGATTTACATATAGAACAGGCTGTATATGAGTATGCCAATAATGAAGAGACAAGTGCACGTTACAAGGACATGAAAAATAGAGCATGCTGTACTTTTTTTTTTTTTTTTTGACATCGAGCATGCTGTACTTAAAATCTTAAATGATATAACCTCACATATATAAGTTTATATATGTATATATAAATGTACATAATGTTTGGTGTAGGTATGTCAGTAATTTTGGGGATTCAAAAGCTTAGTGAAGTGATTTAATACCAAGTATAACACCTAATAGGGTCCCCATAGTTCATGTGTCCTGACTCCCAACCAATATATATAACATATTCCTTAGATTAATGTCAAGTTTATTTTTGCACTATACCTTAACACCTATGATATAAATCCACTTTCCACAGCATAAACAAATAATTTTTGAAATATACGATAGTTATAAATAACGTCTGATATCTTAAAACACATTGATCTGTTATATACTTATATATTTTAGTATGTTGATCGATCTAAGATATAGAAACCAACGAAAACCATACAATGGTATCTTTTTATTTAGTCTTTGCCAATAAACATTTGACATTATTACGGCATGTTCTATATATTTAACCATTTTCAGCTTCTCCATACTTCTCAACATTATCATCACTTGGTTCTTTCTTCAAGCTTCTCTATAATCTAATATATGCGTAAAAGAAGTTGCTAAAGTGATTAAAAAGCTTGTGATTAGTCACACTTGGAGATCACATAGCTCAGCGTTATAGTTCTTACCCTCTACTGCTTCAAAGCAGCAACCAACATCAAAGCCAGAGAGTTAGAGCAGCTGTTGTGTCTAGCCTCCATGCAAAGCCACCAAACTCCATTTTCCACACATCACACGGCACCGTTTTAGTGTACCTAGTCTCTTGCCACGTGTACTGCATCCTCACCCTACACGTGAAAGCTTTGTAGTTATTACAACACTCCTCCATCACCAACCACACCGTGACTTCCGGCAACGACAACGACGACGGATCTTCACCGGAAACATTTATCCGGTAAGCCTCGTTCACCCAAACAACCCGGTTCGAGGCATCAGACACAAACGCTGGACACGTGTCTTTACTTAAGGTATCAACCATCTCAACGTCCGTACACTCCACCGCATGAGAACTCGAGCTACCGTCACACACGCCAGTAACGGACTCAACCGTCACCCACGTCTCCACCTCCGTCGTGACGCCGCCGTTAAACAAGGCCCACGTGTTGGTTTCTCTTGTTTCCTCCCCGGTTATCGTTTTCATCACCATCGGATCTAAGTCTAACGGCGTGTAGTGGCCTGCGAGATCTGATTTTTCCGGCATGAGTTGAAGTGTCACGACTCCAGTTTGTTCCCGGTGATCAGACAAGTCAGATCTGTTCTTTCCTCGACACGTGGTGTTGTTATTCTTTGAAACCCTAACGTACTTTCGTTTGGTTCTTTTACTCAGACCGTATGAGTTCTTGTTGTCGCATGGCTGACCGGTCGTCGGTTTTGGAGCTATCGGTCGGTACCGGAGCATGAGAGTGTCAACGGAAACCTTATCATGCGCCTCACCAGCGTATCTTAGCGTTCCCAATAATTCTTCTTGATCCATTATATTTTTCTCTCTCTCTCTCTCTCTCTTCTCAAACTCTCTCTCTTTCTCTCTATAGTGTTTCTGTGTGTATCTCTCCGGTGAGACGAAAAGACTATCATTAGGGGGGCAAATGAGGAGGAATGGTAATTGGCCACGTGGTTCTAGGGTTAGCGTTTATACATTTAAATCATTGGATGGTCTCTGTGCATCTTCTATGTCATATCTTTTGCACCATATTTATGTCTCTTTTGCTTCTTTATTTAAGTATATGTTTTTTTTTTTGTTTCTCTACTTGAGATAAGAGAGTAACAAGAATATATATTATTTATACTTTTGATAACGATCCAGAGTAACTATTTTATTTTTTGCACATCATGATTCAGAACAACAAGTCCCAGGTTTCAGATAAATTCTTGTTGATTTTTCTGTAATTACAATCTGTTAATTAGTTGTCTTGCAATTTATTAATTGTTAATTTATAATATTTAAAAGATCATGTTAACCAATCATGCATAAGATATGGTACGCTAAGTTCAAAAAAATAATATCGTACGATGATTAACGACACTCATACACGTACATGTATGTATATATATGACTATAAGGGTAGGTACATATATATATATATATACATATACACATCATCTCTGTGTGTGACTGTAAGTGTATGTACGTACATACATGTATGAACAAGAGCTAGTGTTTTATTGTGTATGTAAGATTTATTATTAACTTTTTATGTATCTAGCGAAAACCTTAACATCCAATTATAGTTTTTATTTGATATTTTGGAGAGTGTTTCAATTTTTTTTTTTATAGATTTTATTGTGGAACTTGTTTCCAACTCTCATATGTTTTCAAATAAATGTATGCCTACTTTCTCTCTTATAACTCTGTTAAAAGTGCATGACTAGTCATAGTTGTATGAAACCTCTTTGTTATTTAAATTGCAAATGCTTTTGTAATAAAAAACCTTGACAACAAAAATATTCTTTGGTACTATAACATATTTATCATGTATATAAATGTATTTTGTGATTTTGTAAGACCTATATATATATATATATATGTTAATATGTGTGTATGTGTTTTTAACTAAAATGTATGTGTTTGTTGTAACAAAAACTAGATATTTTTGTTGCATTAGCTCATACCAAATAAAAATTAAACTTGTTCGACTTAACAATAACAAACAAAAAAAAAAGATTGTCCGTGAGTATAAGAATCGTTTGAAACATATTTATAAGTTGTTAACTGAACCAAAGACTCACATTTAAGCAATAACAGCATTCTCTTTGCGGCGTTGCACATGCCATACATAAAATACAGTTTGATCCGGACTGTAAAACAATGGTCAGTACTATTAGATAAACATTAGAGTTCGGGTCACTTAACTTTTCCATTTAAAAATCTATAATGAATCTTTTTATATGATTACACACAACAGATTCAAATTTTGCACCACATTGTTAAACGCAGAGCACACCACATTGGTTGAATAGAAACAATGTCATTTACCCACATTGATGTATACACATAGGTTCCAACGATAAATTTAATCGTATTGTTATCCTAGCCCTCCAATAATGTTGGTATATTCTTCTTTTTTTTAAAAAAAATCTGAGATTTGTATATTATGTTAATGCGTGGGTCCAGTATAAAACAAAATATGCTGGTTCACCTTATTTGAAGACTCTGATTGGTCACAGTAATCTCCTACCAATCAAATTGCATTATGTGTCCTCCATCTCAGTTGGAAAAGCTGTTAATGTCATGACTCACCGCACATTTGTAAATATATACATACATATTCTTTTTATATTATATGCATGCAGCATGCCTACACACATGAATGAGTAAACCAATAAGAGATGTCTGTGACAATGATATTTGCAGATATAATAGTTAATATAACAGTTTCTTACTTATTGAACAACCGCTAATTTTTTTCTCAAAACAAACAATATATACTTTTATCATAAGAAAACCAAATAATATACATAAATACATATATATATATATATATATATAAAACTGCATCTATGGTGAAATAGATGAATGAATTTGAATTGAAAATCAAAATTAAAATAGAGATTTTTTTTCTTCAAAAATGGAAATTTCTATTTAGTTGAATATGCCTCGAGTTTGGATATCCGTTCGCGTTTGGATCAGGTATTTTGGTATTGGAATCTAGTACATGTTCAATTATTTTTATATAAGGGATCAAGTTCAGATATTTTAGTTTAGGTTCGGTGACTTCAGGTCGGATTCATATATTTAGATTTTGAACGAAAAAATAAAAATACTTCATTTCACAAGTTCTCTTGTACTTAAAATATTTACTATTAACTTAACTGATTTTAATTTTTAATATGTTGGACGGTTAAAAAGATTGAAGATAAACTTTTGAAAATAGAAAAAACATTAATCTGATTATTGTTTTGAGATTTAGATGCACTTTTGTTAATATATGAAACAAGAAGCCTAACATGTATTTTAAATTAGTACCGAATCATATTTTCTACAATTATATGTATATTATCTGATTTTTAGGCATGTGCAAGATCAATATAAACGTTTCGAACAAAATGAAAAATCAAACTAGTAGAGCTAAGTATACATATGTTCGGTTATCTTTGGATATACATTCGGATTGGTATATTATCCGTTCGGATTCGGATATCCAATCTCTCCTAACTCAATATCCATTCAAATATTTCATTATTTTGGTTCGGATTTCGGTTCGAATATTTCAGATGAGATTTGGATACGGATTCATGTATCAGGTAAAATGCTCAATAGTTAAATGTTACAAAGATAACCATTTATTATTTTTAACATTCCATTATTTTATAGTATGCAGTAGTTTATGATAATTAAATTTATTCACTTCTTTCTATCAAAATTCTTTTGTAATTTTTTTACAAAGTAGTTTCTTGTATAACTGTTTAGTTAAAACTTTACTAGATATATATATATATATATATATATATGGCTTCTTACTTTGTTGAATTTATAACTAGGGAGGCTTCCTATTTTCAGCTATAATATTGTCCACATAGAAGAGGAATAAAACTAATGTTAGACTGTTAGTGACTCATTTAAATTATAAAATAATATATTAATATTTTGATTAAAAAAATTTACAAAAGCTTTAATACAAAAATAAACAAAAATAAAATCTCCTAAACTTAAAATTGAGTAGTTCAAACTTCACAAAATTAATAAAAATAACAAATATTTAGCAAAATGTATGCACTTTGCAGATGACCCCTAAGCATCAACATAGATGCGTCCTTATCTTTAAAAGAAAGAATTGGGCTCTTGCAGTCTGACGTCGGCCCATAGGCCCAGTAACGTGAAAGTGTCCCGTGTTTAGCAGCAGAAGCCACTGTGGTCATCGTGGAACACCCATTTTCTCTCGTTTCACTTCTTCGTCCCTTCCTCGATCGCCTCTCCGTCGCCGATCTCGTTACTTCATCTCTCCCGGTGAGACTCTCTCTCTCGTATTCGAATCATTAGTTGTATTCTTTGACATTTGATTGATCGCTAGTTTTACGGATCTGTATGTAGACTCCGATTCGTATCTCTGTTCTGATTCAATCTTTGGTAATATCTAATTCAGATGGTTGGAGGAGGAGTTATCCAGCAAATTCTCAGGAGGAAGCTTCACTCCCAATCACTCGTAAAGATTCTTAACTTATATGCAACAATCTTGTGAAAGGGCATTTTGGTCAACTTGGTTTGCAGCAAGAAGTTCTTTTTTTCTTAGCATTGTTTTTTTTTTTTTTTTAATTATCTCTGCAGGCAACTCCGGTTCTGTCTTGGTTTGCTTCGAAGAAAGTTAATGAGGATGCTGGGTCTTCTGGTGTGAGAGCACTTGCTCTCCTGGGTGCTGGAGTTACAGGACTGTTTAGTTTCTCTACGGTAGCTTCTGCTGATGAGGCTGAGCATGGGTTGGCTTGCCCAGACTACCCGTGGCCTCATGATGGCATTCTCAGCTCTTATGACCATGCTTCGTGAGTGTTTCTTGTCACCACTCTTTTTAGCATCCTTGTACTATTAATTTATATCAGTGTTCAAGAAATCGCTAGGCGGTAACTAGTGTTTTTGTATAGAACTAGTAACTAATGGATTACTGATTTATTTTTATATATTTTATATTTATAGTAGTTTTTTAACTTGTAAATTTAGTTATAAAATTATCTTGATGAATTATAAAAATTAGACATACAAAAATATGAAGTTAGTCAAATTTGTGGATTTAAAGTAACCTTTTTACTTGATTTGACAGATTTAAACCAATTTGGATCAATTTAAACCGAATTTAACCAGTGTAAGACTTTAGAACAGTTTAAACCAATATGAGACTGCATAAATTAGATTTTAGAAACTTAATTTTGCTATAACTGTTTTGCTGCCTATGCGTCGAGTAGACCGATTTTTAGAACACTGCTTTATATAGTTAGACTTTGAAGCTTGAGCTAAAACTAAAAAGTGTCTGAGTTTCTTTACTGTGTTAAGTGATGAAGGTTTGATGTTATATGAGCAGGATCCGTCGTGGGCATCAAGTTTATCAGCAAGTCTGTGCTTCTTGCCACTCCATGTCTCTGATCTCATACCGAGATTTGGTGGGTGTTGCCTACACTGAGGAAGAGGCAAAGGCAATGGCAGCTGAAATCGAGGTTGTTGATGGACCTAACGACGAGGGTGAGATGTTCACCCGTCCTGGTAAACTCAGTGACCGCTTGCCTCAACCATATGCCAATGAATCAGCTGCGAGGTTTGCTAATGGTGGAGCGTATCCTCCTGATCTAAGTCTTATCACCAAGGTCTGCTGCTGTTTTAAACTTGAATCTGAATATCTGTAGCAAATTTGTGTTCAGTGATCTAAGTGGTTTCAATGTTCAGGCACGTCACAATGGTCAAAACTACGTCTTTGCTCTTCTTACGGGTTACCGTGATCCTCCTGCTGGCATTTCAGTAATTTTTTTGACTCGTTTCTTACAGTGGACCTGTTCGAATTCTGATTGTCTGGTTGTGATAGAAGGCATGATGATTTTTTCAGATTAGAGAGGGGCTACACTACAATCCTTATTTCCCTGGTGGAGCAATTGCTATGCCCAAAATGCTCAATGATGAAGCTGTTGAGTATGAAGATGGTGTCCCCGCCACAGAGGCACAGGTTAGGTTTCCTCTGTTTAAAAGAAACACGAATCTTTGGGCTTGATGGACAGCTTTGCTTCCTGAGTGTCATGATATTAACTTTGAGTTTTGTCAATTATGGCGCAGATGGGTAAAGATGTTGTGTCATTCTTGTCTTGGGCAGCTGAACCAGAAATGGAAGAGAGGAAATTGGTAGGTTTATTTTTCCTCCAATGCATATGCATTTTTGGTTTTGATGTGGCAAAATTTTAGTCCAACTTCGTAGCTTTTAGTTTAGAAATATTGACTTAGAGAAGGAATTGTTGTTCTTGTCCCAATAGTTCTTGGTCTAGATATGCTGCTAACACGGTTTAAATCGGTTCTAAGACCTTTTCAACTCAGCTTCTTAACTAGTCTTAAGAACCTGTGAAAACCGGTAAATGGCACACTTTTATGATCCTCATTTGATATGGCGCTAGCTAAATTGTGAGTTTTATTTTATTTTGCAGATGGGATTTAAATGGATATTCCTACTATCTCTCGCTCTGCTCCAAGCAGCGTACTACAGGCGACTGAAATGGTCTGTTCTCAAGTCCCGCAAACTGGTTCTCGACGTGGTGAACTAAAGCAGTTGCAGTGGCTACACACAAGTCCTCTTTTCAGCAACATATCTCCATTTATTTTTCATGTGCCATAAAAAATCTTCGATGGGAAAGGTGGAAAGAACCTACTCAGCTTCTTTTCTTTTTGAGTATCTCTTCTATGAGGATAATAACGAAAATTTAAAATGTCTACCTCATAATCAAACATGAATTTGAGATTATTATTATTCATTTTGTTTTGTTTCTTCTCTCAGACCGCTACGCCACGGTTCATGAAATAAAGATAATCATTTGTACTCAGTTTCATAGCTTACGGTGTTGTTTTTGCACTGAATGTTGCCATAAATAAAAGTCACATTATAATAACATTTTTGTTTTGCTATATAGCTTGTTTCACAGATATAATCACTGAACCTGTCATGGTTGCTATAAATGTAAGTCAGAAGAGAGATTAAGAATACCATTTTTGATTTGGTATAGTGGATATAATGGCAAAAAAGTCACTCTACCCGACAAAATTACAACACGTTACACTGGAAAACTTTTACAAACGATTTCCTCCATTAATTATAAGGTAAATAAATAATCTGAAATGGCTTATTTACTCTTCCAATATTATAACGTATGATCAAATTCAAATGTAACTACCATCCCGAGATCCCAATTTGGCTCAACAACAATATACTACTCTGTATATACCCTAAATTTTTACAGGTTTGTATACATGCTTGGATGGGCCTACAAAGTGGTCTCCTTGCCGGACATACACGTTTTTAAACGGCTAGTCAAGATATGTTGATACTTTAAATGGTCTAAACAAAAAGTTCATATTTTTTTCAATCAAATTTGAAAGTTCGGGATTTAAATGACAATTTTTCCGAATAAAAACTGTGAAGATCTCCATTTTATAGTCGAGGCTTACAAACGCCATCCATCAGAGTGATTGATCTTCCCAACTTTCCAAACAATCCAGAAACAAATGGCGTATGAATTTTTTTTTGGGTCAAACACACGTATTCACTACGTCCTGATTTAAGTTTTCTACCTTCCAATTTCACCAGAAAGAGAGTGACCTTGATTTGATTAGCAAGCAACTAGGCCGACATATCTTTCGAAGTTGCAGCTTGGTCAACTCTGACTGACATGGCCGATGATGAGGAGAAAATATCTGATATTAAACTCATGGAGGTGTCGATGTAAAAACATGGCAATACAACCGGAGAGAGTGGTCCGTCTGGATTGCACAACAGAAGACCCTAGCTAGATCTATGGACAGCATGCAGCTGACACATAAAGCCTCTACGAAGTGCCTTTTGTTAACTTACTTTAACCCTAAACTCATATAAGAGTTTATCAGAAAGTTTCTAGAAGCATGAAAATAATATTATAGTCACTAGGAGGATGTTGTGTGTTACTTTTAGTACCTTTTCCGTTCTTTCTCTTTGGAAATTTCCTAATGGCTCTCTGCCTTGCATTGCAAACAAGCTCGAGTTCATTTGTATTGATAATATTTGCCTCTTTGGTCAAAACCCCATTTAAAGAAAATGTCCCCAGATTTGATATGCATCACCGAAACCATATGGAACCCATTCCTAGTCATATCTAGGTATGTATTTGCTTCTTGGAAATATTTCATTTTTTTCTCTTGCACTTGCTCAGATCCTCTGTATCTATAAAATGTCACTTTTGTCTATCTTCTTCTTCTTTGGAAAACTTTCATTTATTTATCGCCTTGCGCCGCAAGCAACCTCAGATTCCCAGAATCTATATATAATGTCAGTTTAATTTTTCTTAAAACCCAGCCACCATTAATGCGAATATGAGGAATTCTGAGTCCACTTGTTCTCCACATGAAGGTGAATGAACTCTTTACCAAAGGGATGAGTGAGGCTTTCAAAGCCGGTGCTTCCCATGAGGAAGAAGATAAGTTTGCTGACTACATGAAAGGAGGTGCTTGCAGAGAATCATTTATGGCCCTTGCAGAATGCTCTGATGGGGATAAGCCGGATAAGCAGATGGCCATGTTGGACTGTATGGAAGCCCACTCTGATTACCACCATAAGTATCTGGAGATTATTGATGAACAAGTGTCGAAGCAAGCTATGGAGGAACTTGAATCCATGTTTCCGGGAGGGGAAGGCGAATTGGTTCTTGGGGTTCACGAGTTCTTCACAAAAGGAGAAGGAGGTTGTTGCAAAGAACAATACATGGCTTATATGGATTGCAACATCGAGAAGGTCGATGAAGGAGATCAATATGATCCTTTGTTGACAACTTTTACTCAAAGGCTTCTTAGGATCCTTTAAGTTATTTATCAACAGGGATGACTTAATTGTTCTGCTTTCTTTTCATTTCTTTTTTGGCTACTATATTTGTTCGCTTTCTAGTAACAGAAATAAAAAAAAGTTATTTTCTTTCTGTCAATGCTTTTTTATATGTATATATGTGTGATTTGCCCTAGTTGTTGATGTTTCAGTCAAATTGAAACCCCTATACGAACTCAAAAACTAAAAAGCTCTTACAAATCAATCCAAGTACGTGTTTCTCATTGGTAGCAAAATTTACCCAATTTGATTTGAATCAACGTAACACATCCCCTGTCCAATATCTCGAAACGAGGTACAGTAATATCAAATGAGTTTCTGCATGCATGCTTTTATACTCTGCTATACACAGTCTGAGGAGGAGTTATTTTCGGAAGCTGAGAAAGAAGTTTTGTAGTTTACAAAACGAGTTCTTATTTGCTTTTCAAATCTTCTCTGCTCATCTAGATCACGAGCATACAATTCCACCATTTCAGGAAGTAGCTCGGATAGCACGAGAAGAGGGGGAACGTAGACGAAAGGAGAGGGAGACAAGCGGGTAAATACTTCCTATATTTTTTTCCTATATTCTCGGAACAGAATATTCTTATTCATATAATGTATATTCTACCATATGTATAATACAATAATAATGTTTGAAATCAAGTTATACATGTTTTAGATTTATAATAATGTGTAGATTATGATTTCTACTTATTTTAGATTTTATAGTAATGTGTAGATTCCGTTTTCTACTGATTTTAGAGGGACAATTTAAATATGGAGTGTGAATACCAAATATTTTAGAATACTTGATCACATATTCTAAACATAGTAGATTCAATAAAAAAATGGATTTCACTATGTCAGTTCTACCTTATGTAGAACATAATTTGAAAAAAATGATTTATACATTTTTAGAATTTGAAAAATACCGCTAAATTGATATAGATGTTTCATAACTAGTTACTATTTTCATAATTTTTATTTGAAAATTATTTAATTAATTTAGTTTCAAAAATATTAAAGGGCATTATAGAAAAGAATAGTAAAACATATAAATTAGCATAAATGAACAATGTTACCATTTTTATGGCTTAAAAAATAATTTTCCTTGTTTTTAAAATTTTTTTTTCCGAACCCGTCCGTAATCGCTGAATATTTTTTGTACTCTTGTTACACTTTAAACCACATGACTTCTGACTATTTTAATGCATCCTGGTTTCACGTTCAGCTATGCACAAATTACTACGTTACTTGGTTTTCCCGATAACTATCTCAAATTACTCAACATATACTAAACCTTCAACAAAAATAATATTGACAAATAAACATATCACAGCTTGTCACAGTGTAGTAGAAGATGAAGTTGCGACACTTTAATGCCATTTCTTCTTGAGATATTTTCCCAATAAGTACAAACTTGTCACAAGAAAAGAAGACATATACTTTGGAAATTTGATGTTTAGTAGGTATATATATTAACTATAAAATTTCATTTAATTTCAATATACGGTGTTTGTTGTGGTGGCGGAAAGAGAAGTCTCTTGACAATATCATTGGATTTACAAGAAGTTAAGCATTACCAGTATTAAAAATAGTAATCACGAGTTTGATAACGTGATTGTCCACAAAACAAAACAAAATTTGCCGTATGCATTAATCAATCCATGTATAGTCAATTCCGTTGGAAATAAAAATCTATATGCGCCAATCAATGAAAGTTTTTAAAGAAAATTTGGCATCCAGTGATCATGCAGGCTTGGACCATCATCAATTCCAAAACCTAGATTAGTAAACCCAATTACTCATATTATAATAATTTCAAAGATACAACAATTTATTTTAATTTTCTACAACATTTAATTTAGACGTCGTTATTTTCTATCACCATTTTAAACATTGTATATATTACACACCATTGTTAGTTTTCTTGTATCATTCGCAGCTTAATATGTATCAAAATCTGTGAAAATAATTAACCATATACGCCCTTAACCATATAATCATATTGAATAAAACAACATGGATCCGCTTTTATGGCTATCCGAAAGAGGCAATATGGCCTTTTGGAGATCAAAAGATTCAAAAAATGACATATAAAAATCTAATTTTTATTATATGGTTAATGTAGTTATTTAGTTTATTTTGATAGTACATTTTAGAAAATGATAAAAAATACACAAATTGTTGGTAAAGGTTTACTATTCAAAATTATTAATTGCAATATATTTTTAGTCGCATTAAGTGATTTCATAATTTTGAAAGAAAATATTCTATAAATTATTAATCAGAAATTTCTAAGATAATTTTTTAGTTTATTTTCACAATAATAGCCCGCAAATAAGAAACTGATCAAAAGTTTTACTAAAGGATAAATATACCTTATATCTTAAGATTTAGAGTTAAAGGATAGGGGTTAAAAAATTTAAATAGAAAATAAAATTTTAAAATAATAAAATAAAAATTGTAAAAGTAGTTTTAAAAAATACTCGAATTTCAAAAATATAAATTTTTAAATTTTTTTTGAAAAACCAAATTTGAATTTTTCTTTTATAAGAAGTTCAAATTTGAAAACAAATAATTCAAAATTATTTAAAATATTATTTTTATGTTTATAATTATTTTTATTTATATATTTATAAAGCAAAGTGTAGAATAGTCTTTTTGTCTTTTTAATGAAAAATCTTTGGTAAAAGTAAATATTACATGCTATAAGATCTTTTATCAAAGGACTTATGGCGGCTAGGGTTTTGGAAGGCGATTTCGAGAGTGCGAAGGAAGATGGTCAGGATGCCACGATGGAGGATATTGGGACGAAGGGGAGACCGCCGGGAGAGCCACCGGATGCTCTAGGCTTGTGGGTTAAGAAAGTTGTGGGGTGTAACGAGGGAGGTATGCTAAATCCGGAGGATGTCGTGTGCGAAGAGTTTGTGAAAGCTAGGTTACAATTGGAATTCCCAAACGGTGAGGATGGAGAGCCGGAGATTACGATAGGGGAGGAGGTTCTGGAGGCTATGAATAGTTTGTGGAAGAGATGTATGATTGTGAAGGTCTTGGGGAGTAACATTCCTATAATAAGTCTGAGGAGGAAGTTAACGGAATTATGGAAACCTACGGGATCGATGTATGTCATGGATCTTCCTAGGAATTTTTTTCTGGTACGATTTGAGAAGGAGGAAGAGTACATGAATGCTTTATCTGGGGGCCCATGGAGAGCGTTTGGGAGTTACCTTATGGTGCAAGCATGGACTCCAGAGTTTGATCCGTTGAGAGATGAAATAGTTACAACTCCGGTTTGGGTTCGCCTCTCTAATATCCCTGTGAATTTTTATCACAAGACTATACTGATGGGAATAGCTAAGGGGCTAGGAAGACCAATCAGGGTGGACTTGACGACGTTAAAGTTTGAAAGAGCTAGGTTTGCAAGAATATGTGTGGAAGTGAATCTGAAGAAACCGCTGAAAGGATCAATTCTGATCAATGGTGAGCGTTACTTCGTCTCCTATGAAGGACTCCCGACCATATGTTCATCATGTGGAATATTTGGACACCTTGTCCATTCATGCCCAAGGATTGCTGCGGAGAAAGCTGTTGTCCCTGTGGTCAATCCAGTAATTGTTAATGCTCCTCAAATTGATAGAGCAGTAGAGTTTACACCAGTGAGGCCGGCATGGAAAAATACTGGAAATCAGAGACACCCAGGAGGCGCTACGAGGAGGAATAGTGGGAGAGATGTGGGCGGAAGTAAGCCTATGGAAACACGTCAAGGTGGTGGAGTGGAGAAGACAAATGTTTCGAATAGGTTTAGTACCCTGACAGAGAGTGATGATACGGAGGAGTTGAGGATTGGTGATAGAGGTGATGATGGAAATAAGGAGAATGTGAATAATGAGAACGTGGGAATTGGAGCTTCAAATCCAGTGCATGGGAAGGTCATGACTTTTGCAGCAACCGAAAAGAGAGGAGTCCTTGCGCAGGCTCGTACGGGCATTACAGAAAAGAAGGCTAATAAATCGAGAAGCCCAATTATACAAAAGCCCACGCATAAATTTGCTGGGCCTACAAGAGGTTTGATTTTTGGTCCAGAAAAAGGGGAGGTGGGTCTTTCGTCGAGTGGTAAGAGACTCAGAGTAGAAAAAGAGAATATCGGCCGACCCGGAGGAGCTTTCGCCGGAGACGGAGGAGCCGATGGAAGCAAGATGATTTAAAGGTCTGGTCTTGAACAGTGTGACGTACAGAAGCAATTAGCGCTGTCCGAAACTCTGATGCACGATGAGTCAGAGGAGTCGGATTCCCGTGGGGGAGATAGCTCGAAGGGCGTGGAGGCATAACGATTTGCCCCGGTGATTTTACGGATCGATAATAACATACTGATGAAGTGTATTCTTTGGAATTGCCGGGGGGCAAATAAACCTCAGTTTCGTCGCTCGATTAGATATATGTTGAAGAAATTTAGTACAGATATTCTTGCAATATTCGAAACGCATGCTGGTGGAGTGGCAGCAGGAAGGATTTGTCAAGGGCTTGGCTTTGAAAACTCGTTTAGAGTGGATGCGTGTGGTCAAAGTGGTGGTTTGTGGTTACTATGGAGGACAGAGGTAGGAGAGCTGGAGGTCGTTAAATCGTCAGACCAGTTCATCTATGCCAGAATTGGTAATGGAGTGGAGGTGATCAATTTGATAGTTGTCTACGCGGCACCTACTCCTGCACGTAGGAGTGGTTTATGGACTGCTCTTGAGGAAGTAATTAGTATTGTGGTTGGTCCGGTGATCATTGGTGGGGACTTCAACACGATTGTGAGATTGGATGAGAGAAGTGGTGGGAATGGGAGATTGTCGGAGGACTCATTAACGTTCGGAAACTGGATCAACGACATGTCGCTCATAGATATGGGATTTAGTGGAAGCCAATTTACTTGGAAGAGAGGAAAGTCGGTTAGTACTTTTGTGGCCAAGAGATTAGACAGGGTGTTATGTTGTGCGCAGGCGAGGCTTAAATGG